AAATCTAGACAGACGCCAGAGAGAACAAGAAAGTAACACCCCCTGGTACCAAAATGCGTTTAACTGGAATCCATGGCTAACTACTCATCACTAAGTTAACTGAGCTCTCCTACGGTTAGGTTGGAGTCTTCGGCCCTGCACAAATTGGTTTCTTAACTTTGTAAAGCAACACATAGCTTCTTAAGTTGCTTATGTATCTTAAAGCCCAATATAACCCCCTTGTTATAACCGAGGAATCAATGATTTGATTCTCCAAAAACACAAGTGGGGAATGTGATACCCTAACTTGTATGAACTTGATTGACTCTCTCTTAGCTGAGAAAGCCAGACAGATTCCATTTGGCTCCTTCATTTGCAAGATATTAAGGGCTCCTTACCCACCCCCTTCCTCAAGGACTTAACTAGTGCCAGCTGACTCCCAGCACGTCAAAGAATGCAGTTAACTGATAAGATGCTGTGGCAAGCTGTGTCCATAGTTCCCAAGAATTCGCCCGGTTGATGGTACCAAACCCCCAAGATTTGGTCCGGTTGGTAGCGCCAAAGCCTAGCGTCTATCACTCTGTGATGGATTTAAAGCCCCTGCACCTAGAACTGTTTCCTTTCCTGTAACCATTTGTCTTTAAACTTTTATTGCCTGTTTTACTTCCATAAGATTGCTACAGCTAGGCTGCCCTCCCTTTCTAAAACCAAAGAATAAAGAAAATCTAGCCCCTTCTTTGGGGCTGAGAGAATTTTGAGCACTAGCTGTCTCCCAGTCGCCGCTAATAAAGGACTCCTGAATTCGCCCCCAAAGTGTGGCGTCTCCATACAACCCGCCTCCGTTACAACAACTTCAGATGGTAAAGCTACAGCAACAAAGCGGGGGTGAAGCAGCCACCCATTTTGAACGAGCAGATCTCAGAAGAACTCGCAATCGCAAAGACGGCACCAAGCCATGAAGCTCCAATGATCCAAACACCTCCCACCAGCCCCGCCTCTAGCATTGGGGATTACAATTTAATATGCTACTGGGCAGAGACAAATATTCAAACTCTATCACCAGCCATCCCTGCTGAGATGCCGGATGTGTGAGTGAAGTGACTTGGAACCTTGAGTGCAGCCCATATGCCAGTTGAATACCATCAAATGGCCTCTGTGTCAGTGCCACAGGAGCAACTGAATCTCCTAGCAGAGCATGGCCCAAATTCCTAACCCACGAAATACATGGGCAGGTAATTATAAAGACAGGAGGAATTCTGATTGAGGCCATCAGTGTGGGTTGGGAAGGGAAAAACAACAGGCCTCAGAATAGCCATTGATCAACTTATGGCCCACGGTGAAAATCAGGAGGGGCTTCCAGAGATGTGTTTAAAGACAGGTCACACTGTGCTGACAAAGGCCTAGGACCTGGGATGAGAACTGCAGCGCTTGAATCAGGGCAGATGAATGTCGCCAGTCCTGTGCTGCAGCTGAGGAGCACAGAAGGGAAGGGAGCGGAACACTGCCACCTAGGCAGCGACGCCAGGGGTAGATGGGTTCAAGTATCTTGAATTCCCAGCTGTGCAGTGGCTCATGGCTGTAATCTCAGCACTTTGGGAGGCTGAGGTGGGTGAATCATCTGAGGTCAGGAGACTGAGACCAGCCTGGCCAACACAGTGAAACCCTGTCTCTACTAAAAACACAAAATCAGCTGGGCATGGTGGCGCATGCCTGTAATCCCAGCTACTTGGGAGGCTGAGGCAGGAGAATTGCTTGAACCCGGGAGGTGGAGGTTGCAGTGAGCTGAGATGGCTGCACTGCACTCCAGCCTGGGTGTCAGAGTGAGACTCCATCTCAAAAAAAAAAAGGCCGGGCGCGGGGTGGCCTGCCTGTAATCCCAGCACTTTGGGAGGCCGAGATGGGTGGATCACGAGGTCAGGAGATCAAGACCATCCTGGCTAACACGGTGAAACCCCATCTCTACTAAAAAAATACAAAAACTAGCCGGGCGAGGTGGCGGGCGCCTGTAGTCCCAGCTACTTGGGAGGCTGAGGCAGGAGAAAGGCGTAAACCCGGGAGGCGGAGCTTGCAGTGAGCTGAGATCCGGCCACTGCACCTCAGCCTGGGCGACAAAGCAAGACTCCGTCTCAAAAAAAAAAAAAAAAAAAAAAGGCTGGGCATGAGTAATTATGGGATTGCCTGTAATCCCAGCACTTTGGAGATGATTTGAGGTGGGCAGATCACAAGGTCAAGAGATCGTAGACCATCCTGGCCACGTGGTGAAGCTCCCTGTCTACTAAAAATAAGAAATTTAGCTGGGCATGGTGGCGCACACCTGTAATCCCAGCTACTCAGGAGGCTGATGCAGGAGAATTGTTGAACCCAGGAGGCAGAGGTTGCAGTGGAGCTGAGATCGCACCACTGTACTCCAGCCTGATAACAGAGCAAGATTCCGTCTCAAAAAAAAAAAAGAATGTGATATTGTGACCAGTCCTGGATATCCGACGAGATGGCTCTATGAAGCAAGTGGAAGCAGTACATGAGAGGTGATAACAGAACGAATGTGAAGGGCATTGAGAAGGAGACAGAGGCCTCCGGGAGGGGGATGTGCTGGCACAGATTTATTATGTAAGATCTGAGAAGCCAGTTGACCGTATTTCTGAGGGTTCACCAGATACTGCCACTAGTGAGGGGTCTATGCATCACTGGCAATCGGCATGTCAGCCCTCTGAGGCCAGGTATAAGAGAGCAATAGGACTGGAGCTGGCCTGGAAGGGTCAGCAGGAGCAGGGATTCCAGAGAGCAGAGGTTCGGTTGATGTGACAGTCAGAACAGGAGCAAGGCCAGAGTGGCTGTCAGGGAGCCTAGATGCATAGGAGTCTCTGGTGAAGGCTAATGGACCACGGTATTCCCAGGGCCACAGCCCTGACAGTGCTTGACTGCTCTAAGCAAAGAAAGATCAAAAAGAAAAAACAAGCAAACAGGACAGTAATGGCAGCTGCTGATGGAAAATCCCAACCTCACTCCAGTTTCCAGGCCTGCTTAGCCTCAGACCCAGAGGTCACTGACTGAAAGGGGAGCTTGGGTCCTCTAGACTACAAAGATTTGCAGTAGTTCTCAATTTTTCTCTAAGGGGCTGCAGTACGGCGAGCAACTGTGCACTGGGAGAAGAGAAATAGTAGATATATCAAGGGCTGGTGGGTACACGGTCTGGAGAGGCCTCTTGGAGTCCAGAGGATAAGTGGAGTCCTTGGACTTCTCTTTTTCTCCCTGTCTACACTTGCTCCCTTGGCGATCACACCCCTCTCCTACCTTTTCTCTTCTTCTCTTTCTTTTGTTTTCTGCCGAAGTCTCTCTCTGTTGCCCAGGCTGGGAGTGCAGTGGGGCGATCTGGCTCCCCTGCAATCACCTCCTAGGTTCAAGTGATTTTCCTGTCTCAGCTTTCCGAGTAGCTGGAATTATAGGCATGCACTACCACGCCCGGCTAATTTTTGTACGTAGTAGAGACGGGGTTTCACCAAGTTGGCCAGGCTGGTCTGTAACTCCTGACCTCAAGTGATCTTGCCCTCGGCCTCCCAAATTGCTGGGATTACAGGCATGAATCACCGCACCCGGCCCCTCTCATCACTTTCAGTAACCTATCCACAGCCAGTCCCAGGTGTATTGCTCCAGGCCTGACACCTCTGGTGTTCAGTCTGTTCAGTCTCATATCAAACTGCCCACCTGACATCTCCCCTGAGAGGCCTAATGGGCGTCTCACCATGGCCTACAGAGAACTGATCCACCTGGATTTTCCCTGCCGCCCCTCTCCTGCAGTCTCCCTCACCCCAGTCAATGGCAACACCATCCTCTTAGTTGCCCTGGACTGAAAACCTAGCAGCCATCCTGTATTTCTCTGTGCGTATTCAATGTGTGAATGCATGAGGAAAGCTGAGTTTGCAATCGTGACTGGCCGGGGTAGTCAACGCTTACATTCCTCTCCACTTCTGCGCGCTGATTTGACTCTGAGCTGAAGGTTGGCCTGGCGGGCGGGGCCGGAGCGGCGGGCCTGAGCCAGGGGCGGGACAGACGCCACGGGAACGCGCTCGCGCCGGCGCCGAACCACAACTCCCCGGCGGCCCCCAGCCTCCCCGGCGGCAGGGAAGATGGTGGCGCGCAGGAGGGAAGCGCAAGGCGCGGGACCCGGAGGATCGTATCCCCAGCCCACCGGGCTGCTGCAGAGGGACTCCGGGACGCGAGACCGGGGGCGGCCAGGCATCGCCGGGAGGTGTTTGGGGGTTGGCGGCGGCCGGGGGTCCCCAGGAGCGGCCGCACGGTTGGGTGTGAGCTCCGGCGCTCCTAGCCCCAGCCTCCTTGAACCCTGAGGACCCACGCGGCGCCCTCTTCTGCCTGCCCATTCTCTCGGGCTAATGAGCTTCATCTTGGTCCACGCTTCCTTGGATGAGCTCACCGTGCACCTTCTCACCCAGGGCAAACTCCATTTCCGTCCACACTCTCGTCCGTGTGTGAGCCCATCCCCTTCTCATCGCCTCTGCTTCTAGTCCAGCCCCCATCAGCTCTTACTGGGCTGTTACGGGCCCTCCTGCTTGGTTGCCCTCCTCTTTCTCTTTCCCCTGCTTCTGTTCTCCACCCACGTACCAGAATGTTCTTTTACAGGTGATTTAAATTAGAGCATGTCTCACACGTCAATGATAGCCCCACACCCACTGCATTCTCCTCCAGTAGTTTATCCACTCGTTTCTAAAACAAAAAGCAGACTTCTTAACCTGTGTGGGCCACATGGTCTGACTGGTGCTGACCTAAAGCTCTTTTTCTGTTTCTCTGAGGCAACATGCTTCTTTTTCCTCTGGGTTTTTATTAATGTGTTGTGCTGGGTTTGTTGCACAGTGGCGTTTCTGTCTGAGCTTTAATGTTGCTTTCTCAAAGAGGCCATCCTCATGATAGCCTATGGAAAGAAGACTCTGCCACCCCACACCCTGTAATGTTTCTTCATAATTGATATAAGCTTATGGGTATGCTTACTTGGTAATTGTCTTCCGTTGATGCAACTGGAGCTTCCTGAGTTCAGGACCATAGCCTATACCACATCCGGTAGTCTGACGGAGGTGTGAGAAAAATAGAAGCAGTTCTGAAGCCAAGAGATTACAGTCATGTGTGCCAGTGATTAACCAAAGAATCATCAGTAGAGCCACAGACTGTTAAGAGAAGCTGTAGAAGGCACAGGCAGTGGGATCTGACCCTCCTGGCAGAGGGGTGGAGGGTGATGCCAAGGCTCTCCTGAGGAAGGCGAGGTTTGAGCCAAACCTGAAGGGTTAGCAGGAGGGAAGAGCGCAGAGAGGCCAATGTGTGTGAGGCCCTGTGTACTCCAGGGAACAGGGAGAATCTGGCTGTGGTGTAAAGATGGTACAAGAAGAGACTGATGGAGGGCAGGTGGTGGGTCTCACGGAGCTCTGCCACGGTTAGGGATTTTGGTGTTCACCCAAGACATGGGTTCGAGCCTTTCAGACGTTTCCCCCATCTGTAATCATTGCCCATTTGTCTTCTCTGCACCACCTTGGGAGGCTTTCCTCCTGGGCAGACTCTAGAGACTCCAGACAGGCTTTGCCAAAGGGTAGGGTGGGGGAGTTGGTGAAGGGATGGATGGATCGATGAGCAGATAGGACTAGACAGGGATGCGTGAGAAAGCAGAAGTTGTGTGAATGTTCCTGTTGGCCTCAGTCAGGGTAGCCTGGCCATCTTCCCTTCCCATTTCCTTTCCAGCTATTCCAATCTGCCTCTGAAAAGCAGCAGGCTTCTCACTACCTCTATGGGAAAGCACGCGGCGTCTCGACAAGGCACCAAGTCCACCTGGCCTCAGAAGAGGACTCTTTTTGTCTCTAATGTGCTCCCCATACTGCAATAGTAGTAGCCAGTGGTTCGGGAGGGGACCTGTGGCTTCCCAGGTGGGGCTCCTCTTAGCCTCTACCAAGTCCTTGTAGAGGACACAGCTAATGGGAGCCCTAGAGGAGTGTCCAGAGGGCTACCTGATCTCCCAGTCAGAAACTTGCTTTTAAAGATGTTTTAAAAAGTATAATCCTGCCAGGCATGGGTGGCTCATGCCTGTAATCCCAGCACTTTGGGAGGCATGGAGGCGGTGACCACCCTGAAGTCAGGAGTTCAGACGAACCTGGCCAACATGGTGAAACCCTGTTCTACTAAAAACACAAAAAATTAGCCAGGCACGATGGCTGTTGGCGGGTAGTCTTGGCCAATGGGAAGCTGAGGGATGAGAATCCCTTGAACCCGGGAGGCGGAGGTTGAGGAGTCGAGATTGCGCCACTGCACTCCAGCCTCAGGTGACAGAGTGAGACTCCATCTCAAAAAACCCAAAACTCTCAAAATTAGCCGGACATGGTGGCACATGCCTGTAATCCCAACTACTTGGGAGACTGGAGGCACAAGAACTGCTTGAACCTGTAGGAAGGAGGTTGCAGGTGGACAAGATCGCGCCACTGCACTCAAGCCTGGGCAACAGTGTGAGACTCTGACTCAAACTAAAAAGGAGAAAGTGTAATCCCTAAGCAGCTCAAGCAGTGCTTTTACGATACCCAAAGTTGTTTGAATTATTTGCTTTTGAGATTATATGTGTCCATAATTTGAAAGTAGGAAAGTATAATGAAAAGTGCCTCTAATTTTATCCAAACACAACTGTTATTTATTTATTTTTTAACAAAAACTAAACTAAGGAATTGCTGAATTTTTTTTTTTTTTTTTGAGACGGAGTCTTCCTCTGTTGCTCAGGCTAGAGCACAGCGATCATGGCTCACTGTGACTTCCACTTCCCAGGTTCAAGCAATTGTCCTGCCGCAGCCTCCCTAGCAGCTGGAATTACAGGCGCCCACCATCATGCCCAGCTAAGTTTTGTATTTTTAGTATACACAAGGTTTCACCATGTTGACCAGGCTGGTCTTGAACTCCTGACCTGAGGTAATCCAACCCCTCAGCCTCCCAAAGTGCTGGGATTACATACGTGAGCCACCGCCCTGGCCAAGGGAATTCCTGGATTAGTTTTCAAAAAAGAAACTTAATTTCCTAAAAACATTCCTCTAAACTTAGAGAAAAAAAGCAGCATGTAGAAGAGGGAGTGTGAGTTCTGACCTTTTTGAAGTGCAGTATGTGTACAGGGAAGGGCCCAGTGGTAGGTGGTTCAGTTTACAGATCCAGAGACAGAACATACCTGTGTAGTCAGCACTCCAGGTGAGACACAGAGCACATCCCAGAACCCCTGCTGTCTCTCCACCTATACACCACCGGCCCTGACTGTCATAGCATAGGCTACCACTGCTGATTCAGACAGACAAACTTCCATCCTGACTGTCACAGCATAGGTCTACTGCTGATTCAGACAGACAACCTCCATCCTGACTGTCACAGCATAGGTCACCACTGCTGATTCAGGTAGTAAAATTTGTCAGCAGAGAAAATCAGAATAACAGCAAGAATGTCCCCACCTGTCTCCAATGAGAGACAGCGGGAATATGCCGGGCACGCTGGCTCATGCCTGTAATCCCAGCATTTTGGGAGGCCGAGGCGGGCGGATCACCTGAGCCAGGAGTTCAAGACCAGCCACAACATGGCAAAATCCCTGCTCTCATTCAAACAGCAAAATTAGCCGGGTGGGTGGTGGCGCCTGTAATCCCAGCTACTGGGGGACTACACGAGAATCACTTGAAACCCGGGAGTGGAGGTTGCCGAGCCGAGATCACGCTATAGACTCCAGCTCAGCCACAGAGCAGTGCTCCAACTCAAAAAAAATAAATAAATAAAAAAGAGAAAGAGCAGGAATATTGGATCACATTATCCCTGCAGAACAGTCGGAGGCTGTGGCGTCACAGGCTCCCAGCTTGGGTAGATGTGGCTGTGGCTCTGAGTTCTTCAGAGGCGCTGACCTCTGGCAGTGCCACCCATGGTAGAGGGAGGCTTTCGGATGCCCCTGCAGATGCTCACACTTGACTTCCCTCTCCCTGCGGCAGGAGAGCCTGTCCCGCCTCCTGTCCTCCTGTGGCCTCGCCCAGTCTGTAGAGCTGCAGGAGAAGCTGACCTGGTCAGAGCCAAAGGAGCCAAGGTCATCAGTTTTTTCATCCCAAGCCGTTCCGTGAGCTGCCACACAGGGTTCCACTAGAGGAGGGGGTGGGCATTGTGCCCAGTGTGCTGGGAGCTGGCACTGGGACGTCAGAGCATTCTCTGTCCTGGAGCCCATCCTCACCGTGTGTGTGCAGGAGGGCTGTCCAGGTGACAAAGCCTGCACCCCTTTCCCCAGATTTGCCACATCCTTGCACTTCTTGCCTCGCTTTTTCTGTCGTGTGTTAATGCTCAGGGACCATCTCTGCTGGGCCCTGCAGGGCCTCCCGCCCTCCTGCTTTCCCCGCTGAGGGAGCTCCTTCCCCAGGCTTAGGGGCCGGGTCTCCAGGAGCACTGTTCCTCATGGTTTTCCCAGGCCTGTGACATATCACACCTCCTCCCCACACAGTGGCATCTGGCATGGTGCGTGTGCCCAGGCCTGGCTTCCAAAACCTGCCTCTGGCCCAGGGCTTACTCCTGCGTGTGTCACAGCATCCTCCAGACTTAAAGAAGGGCAGCCTGTGTGTCCCTCCTTCCTGAGGAAGAGCTGGGAACAGCTGTCACTTCCCCGCAGAAGCAGGATCACTGAAGTGGGGTGGCTGCCTGACCTGGGTTATGGGATGGCCTCTGGTTCTCTCCATGGCTCAGAATAGCCTTGGCAATTGTCTCCCCTGCAGCCACTGCCAGGCTGAGGGCGGGCCTGAGACCTTGTGCCAGACATGCGGAGGCGCCCCTGCCTCTGACATCTATCTCTTCAGGGGTCTGAGTCAGTGTGGTGTCTCAGCCAAGTGGGGTGTCAGCGCCATTGGCTCCCTGAAGGGCCCTGCTGGTGTCCACAGAGAGCCACCCTGTGAAGAGTGGCATTCACAGTTAGTACCTGCTGGGGTGACTGGCACCTCCCTTTCTGGGCTCTGCTGGCAGGACACTCTGTGGGGACAGTGTTTGAATGTCACTGCCAAGTCCATGCTCCCTGAGAGTGGCGTGTGGAGGCCTGGGCAGGAGGACTGCGGCTGTGTCTGGGTCCCCAGGGAGCTTAGCCTGAGCCTCCTGGAGGCTGGGAGCGGCACAGGCATACTAAGAGGCAGAGCGAGGGCCCAGCTTGCAGCCCCTGGGGTTTCTTAGCACCTGCCCCCGCCCCGGCCTCTGTGGGAAAAAGGTCCCATTAGGCCTGGCAGGCCCTGGGGTGGGGGCCCAAATGCCAGGCCTGAGGAAGCCCGCTTCCCCTGCCTCCCTTTCCCTAGAGTGGATCAGTGACTACGCAGACTCCATACTCCGACCCCGAGGCCCTGAGGATGGGAAGTGGACACGCTTCATGGAGGCGAGACCAGGAAGATCGCTGAGGTAGAGGCTCCGCAGGGTCGGGCCGAGCACCGCATCGCCTGCGGTGGTTGTGGGAAGGACGCCCAGAGGGAGGGGGCGGTGGCAGCCTGTCTCAGCCACTCTGTAGAGGCCAGGCTCCCTTTTTCCCTGCTGGATCCTGGGTGCCTGGCTGGGTGACACATCTAGTCTCCACATGGTCTATAGTGGAGAAGGAGGCAGTGCCGGGTAGGTCCGTGCCCTCCGGCCATCCTGGAGCCCCAACACCATGCTGGGAGGAGGGGGAGCAGCCCGCCCCTGGGGGCAGTGGGCTCAGGGGCGGTTCCCACTTTTGGGAGGAGGGCGTGGAGGATGGGCTGCTGAGACTGCAGGAGGTCCCAGGCGCCACCGACTACTGGGACTGGCCTCTCTTCTTGCAGGAAGAAGCTTAAGGCCAAGGAGGAGGAGGGGGTCTCTGACGAGGAGTGGCTGGGTGAAGGTGACTGGGCCGGCGTCTGTGCTCCCCGGACTGAAGCAGCCAGCCTGCGGGCAAAGGGAGAGGGAGAGACGGAAGCGCGCCCGAAAGGAGCTGCTCAACTTCTATGCCTGGCAGCACCGGGAGAGCAAGATGGAGCGTAGCCACGCCCAGCCTGGGCCCTCAGGCCTCGGCTCTGGCCCCAGCCTTGGATGAGCCTGGCCAGGGCTCCTGATGGCGGGCTCTGAACCTGGTGGTCACAGAGGAGGGCTGCCCCTACACAGGGCTCCCACCAGGCCCTGAAAGAGGCCCAGCCTGGCAGCACCTGTGGCGGTCCCCCACTACCCCCGGGCAGCAGATGCATTTGCTCAGCCGGGTGGACCCTGGTCAGCCCACCTCTTGGGCTCCTGTGCACTTAGTGTTGGCGCTCACAGCCCCAGCCAGCAAGGAGTTCGAGTGGGCAGGCGGGGCCTCCCGAACTCACCCTCGTGGGGTGCAGGAGGGTGCTGCAGAGTATGTGTGTTGGAGTGGTGTGGTGGTGGTGTGTGTGTCTCTGTATGTGCTGTGTATCAGGTGTCTCTGCACAGCGCCTGTGTGTGGGTGTACAGGTATGTGGTGATGTGGGTGTGTGGTGGTGTGTGTGGGTGTGTAGGTGTGTGGTGGTGGGTGTGTGGGTGTGGTGTGGGTGTGGTAGTGTGTGCGGGTGTGTGGTGTGTGCGGGTGTGTGGTGGTGTGCGGGTGTGTGGGTGTGCAGGTGTGTTGGGTGTGTGCGGGTGTGTCGTGTGTGCAGTGTGGGTGTGCGGGTATATGCAGCATGCAGGTGTGATGTGTGGGGTGTGGTAGTGCGGTGTGGTGGTGGTGTGCGTGGTGGTGTGGGTGTGGGTGTGTGGGTGTGTGGGTGTATGGTGGTGTGTGTAGGTGTGCAGGTGTGTGTGCGGTTGTGTGTGGGTATGCGGGGTGTGTGTGTGGTGTGGTCAGGTGGCCTGCACAGGACCCCCTCTCCTGGCTGCACCCGATCACCTGTGACCCACTCCTGGTGCTGCGGTTGAAGCCTCCTGTCCCACTGCCTGGGGTCCCTGTCTACAGGACAGCTTCCCTGTGGGCTCCAGGAGAGGAGTCTCCTTGCCCCCTGCCTAGGCACAGGGAGGGGCCTCTGCAGCAGGCCCTGAGCCATTCGGGCCTGTGTCACTGGTGCTTTCCCTGCCTCGCTGGCCCTCTTGGCTCCCACTTGTGCTCGCTCTAGACCCTCAGCTTCCCCCTCCATGCCATCAGCCTGCCACTGACCTGGGCCACCCGGTGACCAGAGTTACCATCGCCATTCACCAGCACTAGGGGTGGGGTCCCTTTACTGAGTCTCAGGGTCGCCCAGGCCGAGCGGCTAGACTCCTTCCTTCCTTGCGCAGGGGGTCGGGTGGGGGCGGATGCCTTTGCTTTGCTTCATCTCCACGCCTGGGTGCATCTCCCACTTTGGCCTTGACCTTGACTTGCCTGGCCGGTGTTTCCTTCCAGGATCCAGACCTCGCTCCCCAAAGCAGAGCTGAAGGGGCTGGGTTGGTGGGGGAGACATGCCCCCGCGCCCACAATAACTGGGAGGAGGGGTGGGGCATGAGCAAGCCGGCTGTCCTGGGGGCGTGCTGTCTGACCTCGCCCCGCGCCCCGCCCCAGATCTAAAGCGCAGCTGCGCAAGAAGTTCGAGGAGGACAAGCAGAGAGGATTGAGCCGCTGCGGGCCTGGCGCAAATTCCGACTCCCTACTGAGCTGCTAGGAGCCAGAGGTGATGGCTGGAGGTGTTGGGCCTGGAGGAACATGAGGCCAGGCAGGGCCTGCAGCCATCTCCCGAGAGGCCGGGGGAAACGGGCTCCCAGGTTGAGGCCACCCCCAGCCCAGCAGCCCCATGAGGGTCCACACAGGCCAGGAGTGAAGGACCAGGCCACCCCTCGGGTCTTGGGCTTCAGCAGTCCTGGGCACCTGTCCCTTCCTGTGCCTCCAGAGGAGGACTTGTCCCTTCCGTCTCCTGCCTCCACACCCTCCCCTGTCGTATGACCTGCATGAATCCGCTCTGTTTTCCCTTTTCCCTCAATGGAAAAGCCCTTGATGGTAACGAAACAGCCTCAAAAGCAGTGAGAATGCGAGAAGCTTTTATTTTCCACCCAGTTGGGCAGCAGGGAAAGGCTAGGAGGCCCCAGCCCGCTCTCTTTCCTTCCTCCAGCTGGCTGGAGGTTATTAGCCAGGAGACAGCAGCCCTCTCGAACCCAGACTCTGTCTCCCTCTTGAGGTCACAGATGCTAGTTGGAGTCTCACTCCTTCCCTGACTCAAGCACCCCCAGCTGAAGGCCAAGACCAGTGAGGCCTGTCCCCACACGCCTGGCCTTGTTGCGGGCTCGAACCTACATTCCCAGTGTTGAGTCTGGCAGCACGAGGTCGCCGTGTCCAGAGCTACAGGTCCAGGCCCAGAGCTACAGCCAGGCTGTGAGCGCAGTATTTGTGCTGTAAGAAGGAGCTGATGATACTGGCCACTTAAGTTGGGTTCACGCATGTGGACATAGTGATTGCCTGGGACTTGGCAAACTGGGACCGCTGGGAGGAGGGAGATAGTGTGTGAGGTGGCCAGGAGGAGCCTAGGAGCTCCTTAGGCCCTGGGGTCAGGCCCTCCTACGCCTTTCTGGCCTCGCAGGGCAGGAGTGGCTCATGAGTTTCCCACACACACTACACCTTGGAGCCCAGTCAGTCCATAGCACCCCAGGAGGTGTGTAAGCCCTGGGGACTTGGGAGGCCTCCCAGCTGAGCTGCGGTTGCACGGGCCAGGGACAGGGCGGGCCGAGGCCAGGGTTGCTGTGATTGTATTAGAGGAGGTCCCCGTGAGAAAAAATAATCAGATGTTGGCATGAGCAGCCTGCAGATTTGTGCCTGCTCTTCAAGAAGCCAGACGGGAAGGCCTCCTTGTCTGCCTTTGGCTCTGACCAGGCAAACCAGCCAGCCACACAGGCACGCTTCTTCCCTTTGTGACAACGCCAGGAAACCTGCAGAGCCTCTAGAGTCAGGTGTAAGCCAGGGTAGTGACATGAATCACCAGGTGCTCCGAGGAACCTGGCATACCCCACCTACAGCCAGCACACCACTCGGCGCGATGGGTGCGGAGGGAAGAGGCAGCTAGGTGTTCTGCTGTGGGTTTGGGAGCCTATAATGCAGACTAGGGCTGGCGGCGGGTGGCTCCCTTGTCTCGTAGGAAGCAGCACTTCAGAGGCCAAGTCGGGCAGATCGCCTGAGGCTTCAGGAGTTTGAGACCAGCCTGGCCAACATGATGAAATCCCGTCTGTACTAAAAATATAAAAATTAGCTGGGCATGGTGGCAGGTGCCTGTAATCCCAGCTACTTAGGAGGCTGAGGCACGAGTCTCTTGAACCCGGGAGGCGTAGGTTACAGTGAGCCAAGCTTGATCTTACCCGGCACTCCAGCCTGGCAACAGAGTGAGACTCCATCAAAAAAAAAAAAAAAAAGCAGGGGGACTATTAGCTGGGCATGATGGTGTGCACCTGTAGTCCCAGCTACTCAGGAAACTGAGGTGGGAGGATCACTTGAGCCCCCGAGCTTGAGGCTACAGTGAGCTATGATTGAGCCACGGCACTCCAGCCTGAGCAACAGAATGAGACCCTGTCTCAAAAAATAAAAATAAAACTCTGGGACTGCCTTCAGCAGCTTGGGTCACCTAATTGTGTCTGGCCCAGGAAGGAGGGTGGGTACTGAGATGATAAAAGAATCTCCTCACGAAAGGTCTCTGTTTCCTGAATTCTGATGACATGTGTCCTCAGGCCTCTAGGACTGGAACACAGGAGCGTGAGGCCTGAGAGATCCTGGTGGTCACTTGCTGACCTGGGGCCAGACCAGGGTCTTCCCAGTGCACGGTAGAAGAGATGGGGTGAGGTGGGATCAGAGTGGGTGACAGGCCGGACACCAGCTGCCTGAGCTCCGCCTTGCGTACTCCTTTGAGGGTGGACTTCAGCGTGTGTATCATGAACGCACAGGGACTCCTTGTCAGAGTAACTCTCTTTCTCACATCAAAATATCCGTGGACTGCTCTTGGAAAGTGAGGAGTTGGGGTTGCTGGGGTTCATCTTAGAACCGCCTCCCAGCACCGGGCTCCCCTCATCCTGCCCTGGGTTCAGGCCTCCTGAGGAGAAACCAAAGCCTGGGCTACCCCATTCCCACAGCCGGGTCCTCTTGACCCTGGCTTGGATTTGAGGTCTGAAGCACCAGCTCACACTGCTGGGTACAAATCAGGTGCAAGTAGTGCTTAAGGTACAGCCTGCTGGGGCGCAGGGAGGTCAGGACTTACACAGTCACAGCCCTGAATAGCAGAGCTGGGATCTGAACAGGCTCTGGAGTCCACACTTGCTCTGGAGAGAATTTACATTCTACAATCCTCCCATTGAAAGTCTACAATCCCGTGGGTTTTTAATGCGTTGGACAGAGACCACTGCCACAATTACAGAACATTTTCATCACCCGAATGAAGTCCCGAACCTCTGCGCTCACACACGCCCCGCCACAGGCTTCCGGTCCTGAGCAACCATGAACTGGCTTTGTCT